ACATTACATGCCTCACATGTATCAATTGGCGTATATTGATTTTTTCGTATAAACCCGCAGTCGTTTGCCTCCTGAACTCTTTACCAACTGTACAGCAGTGATCCGTAAATGATATTCTATGCGGTCGATTCTGGCATGCATCTGTCTTGATTGTCGAATGTGCTTAGACCCCGAGGTCATCACACAATTCTGATATTTTCTCATACATTCGAGCTATGCCTATCTGCAATCCCCAAATATGTGCTACTGAGGCGTTACCGCTCCGAGTTTCAAAATGAATGATGAGTGCGCTGCCATCTGGTCAAAATTTATTTCTAGAAGCGATGTAAAAAGTGTTGTAACAGATTGTGCTATTACATGATAGAACCGGCGAGGTTCGATGCACACATCACCATCACTAACGTCAAGCGTCCCCAAAATTGCCAGTAAGTCAAGTAAGTGATAGTTTAGGAAATATTAACAGTTAGCCAAAGTCCAAACCGGTTCTCGTAACCGCGATGCAGGTTTCTGAGAAGGTTCTTGATTCATCGCAGAGATCGATATTTTGCGAGTATTAAAGGTCGGTCATGCTTATGGATGCGGTCACTAGGCTTTCATGTATTTCTTAGCTAATTCGTCCTGTGGCATAAAAAAATCCATCATGGTAGCGATTAGTACTCACAATTGATATCGCTAAAAATTTATATATACCGTACACTGCAATTTTTCCGTCTACGAGCATTGAAGTGTTTTTACGGCTGCCATCAATGCATACATCAGAATAAGTTTATATGGTGTTCGTGCGCAAATGCATTGTATACTATATGATATATGTACACTTATACAACAAGGAGCCCAATTTTGGGTGTTAAAAGTTGTAGTGTACAGTCAGCACATCCAAAGTACACATTTACCTTAGATATACCGCTAAGAAAATTTGATATCGGATGCTTCCATTAACAAAATTGCAAAGCTAGGCACACAGAAGATTCAAGTTTCGTATGAGAAAATATTTTTCAAAAATTTCACATATAGGCTGATATTCCAGGGGTGGGGGTTCGGATGCATAGATTGCCCGTTTACACATACTTGTCGCCTGAGATTTTTCTTGATTTCAGCTGGTAAAGTATCGTGGCACGGGAAGCATACGGGTTTTCTGTCGATGTCAGTTATCTTTGTGGAGCTGGTGATGATCTATACAAGAAAAACAGGATTCAATGGAATAAGTATCGATCGACGCAACGAGACCAAGAGGAATATGTACATGTTGTATATATTCCGAATTCTCTAATTGGCAAGTCGATTTGCTTCTCACTTGCGTATCCGTTTAACCAAAAATGTTATTGTGATGTCGTCATTAGCTTAAAGTGTGCTATTAGTTTGCATGTTTGGTATCCGTACATGTGAGACCTCTTAGTCTTGTAATGGCACACTTTTGATCTGTATCGTACAGCTAAAGCGGCAAGGCTTGTGCTATGGCTCCTTCACAATTATTTTACTCGATTGAGTGTCCATGCGATACAGTACACGCTATACAGTCATTTAGCTTTAGTGTTATTCTGTTTAAAATAGCATTCACATGGTAGGATCAGCACACATTGAGGCGATTATATTAGACAGACTTCATCACACAATAACGACATAAATACGGGTGCGTGTAGAAATTATTTTTAGCACTTCAGTTATCAAAACTGAAAAGAACTATTGCTGAATGCTGTAGCTAAAGCTACAACTTCCCTACCATATCACAAGCAGAGCAGCGGAAGCAGAGCTTACAGTACTGTTTGCCCAATGATTGGACGCTGTCTACGCAAACCTCTTGGCAATTGTAGCACAGGTCACCGCACACTTGTTTGTAGTGAGGCTTACAATAAGGAACGCCTGGAAACATAAAACAGGGAGGAATCAGTCTCAGAATAAAAAATTACCGAAATCATTATGCAAATTCCAATTTTGAAGTATCGGAATCTATAAGGCACAAATACGAGGGTGATAATTCTTTTTCAAGCAAATTAGTTTCACGGCTACATGCCACCCAGCTTCTCAAGAGCTCATTCATATTTGAATTTGATGCACTATCATGTCAAGTACAAACACGGGTCGGTGATTGTTTTGCGTACGCATGTGCGTGGATGCAGGTATATAGTTTACCTATCAACGAAAGCTTCCCATAGGCGATGTCACGAAATCTAGACTGTGTCAATCTGTACTTAAGGGTAAGATACCAGCTTGCCCTCACGCTATATGCACATATTCACACACCTCGAGGAACATTTTGAAAGGTTTGACAGCATCTTCATGCACACTGATCTTACCTCTGTATTCGAAAAATGCATCGCCTGCAAAGGGACACTCGCACTTCGTGCACACAAAGTGGTCGGGATGCCATTCTTTGCCCAGCGCACTGAAGCTGCGGCCCTCAATAGCACGTTTGCAAGCGGCACACGTGGGCATGGCACCAATCTAGCAATAGAACGTTGTGTGGATATTTGTAGGTACGAAGATTTGGTATCGAGCGCATCCATAAAAACGAGCAGACGTGTGTCAAAATCGGACGTATTGCAGCTTCATACGTTACCATAGATACGACTGTCTCATAGCCAATAGCAAACCTCACACGCACACGCGTACATTGCAAATAGCTTCCGTACCTGTTCATAACAGCTATGGCAGTACCATTTACTGGCCTTTTCGCGACCCAGATGACTCAGCGGAAGGGCACAGTTCTTGCATGGGATGTGCTCGGGATGGATACGCTGCCCTTTGAACACCAGGAAGTAATCGTCCAACCCCTTCGGACACATGGCACACTTGATTGTTTTTTTCTGGAGACGAATATTGGTGCGGAGATACATTATATGTCTGAAATAATGAGTTCAACTCTGATGTTATTGGTACTATTATGTTAAGTACATGGCTTGCAAACTAGTTCTTAGAAAGTGCGTGTATGTTTATCCGACTCACAGATGGCTCGTACGCAACTATGGAAAACTATGCATCATTCGCCACCATTCTGAATACTTTATACTCGAAATACACTCACAGCGTAGCGTAATTTGCTGAATGCACAGAGCTTCACAATTTTTTGGTCGAGGTAATTGTACACTCAACAGTACACCACAAGCAATTGTTTGCGTGCGTAGAAGCTCGCATGTGAGTGAAGCGTAGAAATAACTATAACATACCAACAGAGAGTTCTATCACGCATGTGCGTATGGAATGGTCTTCCCATACCGCTTTCTGGGCCAGTTCACGATGGCAAGGCTTGCACAGTGGCCTGTCTGCTGTCTTAACGAATTCTTTTCCTAACAGATGTTTCTCGCACACATCACAGTTGAAGTGCTCAGGGTGCCACTTCTGACCCAGCGCCCCCAAACACCTGATAAAATTTATACAAAAAAAAAGATGTACTGTTAGTCTTTGAGATTTGGGCTAATACAATGGCGGTGACAAGGTGCCACAACACCGTACAAGTACAAAGCAGAGACGATCTGAATGTGACAGTAGATATTCCCAAGCATCGTAAATATGAATAGATGGGAAATGTCCATCCAATGGGCAGCACGAAGAGCATTTATACACAGCATGGTACACACCGTAATGTTCTCTGCTCTAAGAAATATCATTTTTTTTTGGCTTGTGCTATCGTAGCTACACTATCCAACATGTAGGTTAGGCATATGACCTGATTCAAAACACTGGTGAGAGTTGTCTTTCCTTCCATATGTAACTAAACAGAACTCCCGTGTATGCAAGGACGTTGCGCTCGCTAGTCTCACTGGATAGCCACAATCACTTAAGCGATGCTTTCCGATGGCTATGCTAGTAATTGAACCTGAGATACTATACGCGTCTAAGTAAACTTACTCTCCAAGGATATGCTGTGAGCAACTGCCGCACCGCGGTCCATGTAGCTGCCAGAAATCGTGGTCGCAGTAGAAACGCCCCTCGTGAGGAAAGTATTTGTCATTGATGAATGGCTGGCAAATCATTGTGAATAGACGGAATGGATGAAGAATTGTTATATAAAGCAGAGGATTGTGGTGGTACAATGCCACAATTAAGGACGTACTCAACTTGCATGTACAGTTTCACAAGATAGGACAACACAGCTAGAATACATGTGTGAACAAAATATACGAAACCATACAGCTGCAGTATATATACCTGATAGTCCGATTTGAATAATTTTTGGTGTTTCCACGAAAAATTGGTTGCGTGTAGTTGCAACAGAAAGAATCTACACAAACACCAATATCTTAGAAAGACGCACGTGTTTTTGAATCTAGCCCTTGCATATACTTAAGAAAATTCCATTATTCGTGTTATAAATAAATATATAAATATATATATATACATATATATATATATATATTATATATATATATATATATATATATATATATATATATATATATATATATATATATATATATATATATATATATATATATATATATATATATATATATATATAATAT